AAGAAATATCACAAAGAACCTCTTGTCTTATTATAAAGCTTTTGCACAGCAAAAGAAAGAGACAACCTACAGAGGGGGAAATTTTTTTTTGCTAGCTGTTCCTTAGACAAAGCACAAACATGTAGAATATGTAAAAAAAAAAAAGAAATCAGACCCCCCAAATTTAAAGACTCAGTCCAAAAATGGGCATCTGAAATGAATAGACACTTTTCAGATGAAGAAATAGAAATGGCAAATAAATACATGAAAAATATTGAACATTATTGGTCATTCAAGAGATGCAAATTAAAACCATGCTGAGAGTCTATCTCACTCCAGAAAGAATGGCTGCTATCAAGAAATCAACCAATAACAAATGCAGGTGGGGTCGTGGGGAAAAAGAAACTTTTCTCCACTGTTGGTGGGAGTGTAGACCGGTGAAACCACACTGGAAACCAGTGTGGAGATTCCTCAAAAAAGTAAAGCTAGAGATTCCATCTGCCCCCACTATTCTCCTTCTTGATATCTTTCCAAAAGAATTAAAAGCATCATACCACAGCAATAAATACACACCCATGTTTATAACAGCACAGTTTGTAATAGGTAAATCTTGGAAACAGCTCAAATGCCCACCAACCATTGAATGGATACAGAAGATGTGTTTTTTTTTATGCAATGAAGTAATACTGTGCCATAAAAAAGGGTGAACTTGAGACATTTCTAGGTAAATGGATGCACCTTGAGACTATACTCTTAAGTTAAATAAACTGGACATGCATGTTCAAATATCACATAGTTTCTCTGGTGTGAGAAACCAAAAGTATAAATAAGGACTAAAATATGTAATAGATATTGTGAAATAGGGAAAAAATGTTTCTCTGGTAAGGGGAACTAGTGAGGGGAAGGAGGGAAAGGAAGGAATGAAAAAGGAAAGAAAGAGAATAGAATTAAAAATGGAAACAAAGCTTTTGAAAATAAGGAAGTGAAGTGAGGTTGAAGGGAGGGGAGGGAAAAGGGAGAAAAAGACTCAAGATATATCATGTACAGGTATAAATTCCATATGATGACTATTATCACTATGTATATCTAAAATGGACCTACCAATAGAATTAAGTTTTTAAACCTGTAAAATAAAATAAAAATTATTGAAAATGAACACACACACCCAAAAAAAGAATGGAGAAAAATTTGCCAGCTATTCTTCAGACAGAGGACTAATATCTAGAATATATAAAGAACTCAAAAAAGTTAGGCCACCTAAAATAAAAGACCCAATCAAGAAATGGGCAAATGAAATGAATAGACACTTTTCAGGAAAAGATATACAAATGGCTAACAAATACATGAAAAAATGTTCAACATGTCTTGCCATTAGAAAAATGCAAATTAAAACAACACTAAGATTTCATCTTGTACAAGAATGAGTGGTATTTATCAAGAAGTCAAAGAATAATGAATGCTGGCGTGCAGTGAAAAAGGGACTCTCCTCACACTGTTGGTGGAAATGCAAATCAGTACAACCAGTATGAAAACCAGTAGGGAGATTTCTCAAAGAGCTAAAATTAGAAATTCTATATAATACAGCTATTTCCTTTCTAGATATATTCCCCAAAGAGGTAAAGACATCATACTAAAGCAATACATACATACCAATGTTTATAGCAGCAGAATTTATAATAGCTAAATGCTTGAAGCAGTCAGTGTACCCATCAACAGACAATGGATACAGAAAATGTGGTAGCTATGCATAATGGAATATTACTCAGCTATAAAGATGGAAAAATTTGAGACTTTTTAGGAAAATGGATGCATATGGAAAAGAAATGAGTGAAATAAATCAGTTACACAAGCGTAAATACTGAATGGTATCTCTCATTTGAGTAAGTCAAAGTACAAACGAAGAGAATAATAAAGGATGGATACAAGGGAACAAGGGGATAGACTTGCAAGTGGGAAGGAATGTAGGAGTTTGAGGGTATGAGGGGAGAACGGGTTGAGAAGGGGAAGTAAGTAGAATTACAATATATCATATACAAGAGCCCAGTAATTTCAATGAATGTAAGCAGTATATGTCAAAAACAGGAGCTAAGAATTGTAATTACAACAAGAATGAAAATGAGGAAAGGGGATTTAGAGGTAGACCGAGGGAGGTGGGTGGGAGGGGGAAGAAGAAAAACAAAAACAAAAACAAAAAAGAAACAAGCTGTATTATGTACACATACTCACTCCCCAAGATGAATGTAAACATCACGTACTTCAAACATGTACTAATAAAAGGAAAGAAAAATAAGTAAATAATACAAAATACAAAAAAGATATTTAATCAGGGGTGGTTTACAGTAAAATGACAATTCAATCTAAGAAAGAACCTATATAAATACAGATTAAGTAGTGGTATGCAAAGTATTCTGTACAATGTATAGATACATTAAAATATGTAGTGATTAATAAAACAAAAAACTTTAAAGTGATTATAGTATAGAAAGTAAAGAGAGAGAAGGTGGCATGGTAGAGTGCTAAGATTTTGTCATTTTGCTAAAGAAGGATGTAGAAAATAATTTTAAAAGTTCACAGATTAATAATGCATGTTGAAGTGGGCATATCAAAAATGTAAGAACATAAAAATAATGTAAGAATACCCACTTGAACACATAGGTGAAGTAACTTCTAAACTTACAAGAGAGAAAAATGGGGGAAATAACATTGATCCATGTAACAAAAGGAGGAAAAGGGAAATAAATAAGAAATTATTTACATACATAGACTGATGTAAAATAACAGTGCAGTAATGTAGATGGATTAAAGTCACTGAGTGAATGTCAGACACTTCCAAATTTTATGAGTTTGTAAAGGCACTGATAACACCTGAAAACACAACATGCCACTTCACCATCATCATCTGTGAACGGGGAGTGGCACAGGAATGAGATGCAGGGGTTAGAAGTTGACCCGGGCTTTTGTGTTGTTTAACCTTTACACACGGAGAATAGATAAAATTTTTTTTTTTTCATGTGAGGTTAAAAAAATCACATTTGACCAAGTCAAATATGGAGGAATGTTAGCAAACAGCCTGAAGAGCTTGTATCCCTCATCCTCTCTGTGGGCAAGGGATCCCCTGAGTGTAGATGAAGGTAGAGTTCATTGTGCCTCCTCTCTGGTTAATTGCCATTTTGATTCCTAACTTAAAGTTAGCATGGTACCTGGTTGAAATTCTTCTAAAATTACTGATCTTTTTCTTATTTCAAAAATACCTATGTAAATTGCAAAGATATTTTATTAATGTTTATCTATTTCCTTATTTTTGTGGTGCTGGAGATTGAACCCAGGGCCTTTCCAATGAGCTCTACCAACAGCCTTTAAATTTTTATTTTATTTTGAGACAGGGTTTCACTAAATTGCTAAATTGCCAAGGCTGGGCTCAAACTTGCAATCCTCCAGCCTCAGCCTTCCAGAGTGCTTTTGCTACTATGCCATTTAAAATATACTTTTAGAAAGGAAACACTACAATTTCTTTTTCCAGAAATAATGAAAAATAGAAAAGTCTTAGATTGCCACTTAAAAATCCAGTTAGAGCACTGCCAGAAGAAATTTCCATACCAGCAGCACTTATGCCAGACCACACTCAGATGACCCTGGAGTGACTGCGCCAAAAGAAGCCTTGCAGCCCCCACCCCACCCCGCCGTGGGCTGGTACTGGCTCAGCACCTGGGGCCTGCAAATGGACTGGGGTCTGTGCAGATGTGATTAAGGATCTTGAGGGAAGGAGATCTACAATTATAAGAGAAACGTTGATTAGGCACAAAGAGATTGTCCTTGTAAGGGGGACAATTAGACACAGAGAAGCACAGAAGAGGAGAGAGGTGAAGATGCAGGCCGAGTGGGGTGGCGAGGAACTTGGGGGAAGCCAAGGGATGCTGGCCACCCTCGGAAGCCGGAAGAGACCGGAAGCATTTCTCCTAGAGCCTCCAGAGAGAGCACAGCCCTGCAGGTCTCCACAGATCCTGATAATGCATTTCTGTCACTTTCAGTCACCAGGTTTGTGGACTTGGTCACAGAACTCACAGGAAACTACCTGGACACCCCTTTCTCCACACCCCACATAAATGACACACCATATAATCGCTGTCACTCTTGTCTGTGTGCCATGGCAGTGCTTCCCAGGGTCTGGATTACGGGTGAGTGAAATTTAAACCATAATTTTGGCAACTAACATTGGATTGTCTATAGTTTTTATTTCCCAAGCTACATGGGAGAATAGGTATTACTCATCTGCTTTTACAGCGCCCCAGCCAACTACCGCAGCCCTCTTGCACATGTTCTAGAACTCTTACTTTCCTTGCCCCCTGTGCACCAGATTTAGTAGTTGTGGAGCCTGCAGTGGTGCTGTGCCTCCACGTGTGTTGGTCAGCAAGAAAATCAATGATGATTCAAAAGAACTTTGTAGTGTCAGTAGGAAAAAGATTCTCTTTCTATTAGTATGTTTGAAGTATAACAGTCATGTTTCAAATAATTGTTAATAGAAGGAGAAAAAACAAATATATAACATCTGCACTCCTGGATGGGGACAAGGCACAGCCTCTCCCTGAACTATCCTGACTTAGGTGAATTAAACCCCTGGTGGGTGGTGAAAAAAAAAAGATCTAAAAATGGGATAAAGAGAAGTTTAAGAAGGAATAAGCAAACATACAGAGATGAGGATCAGAGGTGGAACCTGTGGCATAGTGATTTCCATCTCAGATTCAAATGGCTGTATTGTGTCCACACTCCAGGACTTTGGCTGAGCATCTCATCTTACTGGGAGAGATGCGATTCAAAGTCTGAATTACCAACTCCCTACACAGGCCAGAGTTATGGGTGGATTTGAATTATTCTCCACCCTAAAGCTGTGTTCTGTGATGGCTGTACCCTCCCTTCCCTTGTCTACAAGCTTTAGGACTTCTTGTGGCATTGCCATAAAACTGACAAGACATTTATAAGGAAAAATATTAAAACATTTGCAGAACTACTCAAGTGCCTGGTACCTTGCATTAGGCCACTGTCTCCTTAGGAGGTCATGCTGCTCGGTGCTCTTCTTGCATCTTCCTACCTTCATGCACCTTCAGACATTCTTGGCCCACTCTGAAAGTATACATGAGAATTTCTGTTATGCAGTGAAATATGAAAGCAGAGGTGTAAATCATTATATGAGAAAGGAAAATTTGGGATGAGGAATTGGTTTTTGTCTTTGAGAACTTGCCTTTTTGCTTCTCTACTATGGTCTTTAAAGAAAATCCTTTCAACTTTAAAAATAAAAAGACTAGAAAGGATTTGGGATTATCCCATGAATTATTTAGTTAGTTGAGAGAACGGAAGTCCAGAGAGGTCATGTGATCTATTGTCTCAGAAGGTGGAGATAGCACCCAGGGCAAGGACAGCAAAAGAACCACTAGCTCCAAAAGGCTTCATATTGTTGCAGAATTTGAGAAAAAAATCATAAAATTTTATTGTCTTTTAATTTGTCCACCTCCTCCTAGGCTGAAAATGTCCAGTTTCCTCATCTGCATAGACAAAGGCACCATTACAATCCCATCCGCTCCGTCTCATTTTAGGTAATGAAGTATGGGAGCTTTACCAGACCCCACCTTGATAAATCGAGTATTAAACCAATTTGCCAAGGACCTTCTTGTACACTTTTGCAGAAATGTCAACCCAAACCAGGCAAAAGCACCTTTGTTAAATGCCTGATTACAGTTGCCAATCTTGGTTACAGTTATTAAAAAAAAAATCTGGGGATAATTGCCAATTTGAGATTGGAAGAGAGCCAGACTGACTGTGTTAAAGGCCCTTCTTTGGCAGTTTCATCTGTTTTTCTTTGACGTTTAATTTTGCTTTTTAATTCTTCAAACAAAGGCAATGGGACTTTGGTTTGGGGGCTTACTCTGGCAAGATTGGGGTGCATAGTTGCTGGTTTAATTTTTTTCATTTACTGTGGGTTTTGCCACCTTCTTTCCATCCTTTCTCACAGCATCATCTGTAGTTCTAGGTTATCAGGATGGGAGCATTTTTCAGGAACCCCAAGCCATGATCAGAGTAATTTCTTCCATCGAGATGGTTGTCACTCCTGCTGGTGCAGCTGCCTGACTGGGAACTGTCAGTGTGGTTAGATTTGGCCATCTGACAACCCCAGATGCTTTACTGACAAGCAGGCACTGACTGTAATTGTCACAGCCACACAATTGGTGTTTGTCCAGCCTTAGTGCCACCCAATGCAGCATCATGCCATGTGTCCCCTTGGAGAGGCATTGCTTGCTGACAACTAGCTTGAGCAACATCACAATGACTGCCGAGTATAGGAACACCTGTGGAAAGCCTGTTGCAGTAGGACACAGCCCTCAGCATCTCCAGCTTCTCTAGCACTGGGACAGATGGGCCCAGATCCAATCCTAGTGCATTTCCATCCTGGAGTTAAGTTGACCTTTTCAGAAACAACATCTATTTCCACATCACCAAGTGAGCACCCATTAACTATTGGGTTCACTATGAACCTCAAGTGAGTTAACTAATGGAAACAGCACATTATGACCTCATCTATTGTGTGTCATTTGTTACCCAACCGGCACATTAACTAACTACATGTCGCTATGAATAACTAGTGATCTTTGGCCACATACAAGCCCTTCTCTGAATGTCATGCTGACATTGAACTTTCTGTAGAATTTTTCCAGTCAACTAAACTGAAAGAGAAGGATTTTCTCTGGAGTACATTTCCTAGTTTGGAAACTCTCAGGTTGTCAGGATACCAGTAAGGGCTCTAAGTAGCTTCCTCCTCAGTACCCAGAGGCCTGGAGCAAGGGTCACTTCTCTACCTCTGTGATGCTGCTATATGGCCAATCCGACCACCTGCTTCCCAAATGGAGAAACCACCCTGTGGATGTGGGAAGTGGCTGGGTCTGCATCATGAAGCCCATGGTATGGTGGAAAGAAATTTGTCTTTATGTAGCATGACTTCCAGAAATGAAAAGAAGTGGCAGGACAGGACCAGAGGAGAGTCTAAGGTAGAATTAGGGGCTGGACTCCAGCCACCTGCTCAAAACTTCTTTTATTTTATCTTTCCCATCTCTTCTTTTCCTTTCTGTAAGGATCTATTCTGTTTTTCACCTGTGCCACTTTTTTCATTTTTGCTGTCTTCCAAATGTCAAGTGATCTTAGTGTAATGGGTCTGCATTGGAGTAAAAGATGAGAAAGATGCTTAGCGTTCTTACCAGGTGTGGCATGGATAATGTAAAGCATTGTGCTGCTCTGGTCAGTGTTTCCATTCTGGGTCCTGCAATATTTTTGACTCTCCTCAGTGCAGCTGGACTGGAAATCTGTGGTACCACATGTAGGATAAGGAAAATAGCTTCTCTCTGCACCTCTACATCCCTTCCTGTTCTCTGCCACTTCCACCAAGATCCCACATCCAGCTATGTGGCTGCAGCAAGAGTGCACAGACCTTGCCCAGGAAAGAGAAAATGCTTTTACTTTTAGCCTAAGATAAATTTTTCTGAGTGAAAAAACAACCCATCCTTTTGGCAAGTGGCGATCCTGTTTGCATGAGATAATTCCTTTTCTCCTTTTTTTGTATCTCCAACAGTGTACTTAAAGGACAACCCAAAATAGGATGTCACTGTTGTATGAAATTGTTTCATCTGTATTTCACTGATTAGTTGGGAGCTGAGACTCTACAATAGGCATCAAAAGTAGCACATATCACATCTGAGAGGCAAATCTGAGGGGTTACAGATCCTAACTCTGCAGATGGAGAGAAGAGACTGAGCTCCTGGAACTCAGCAGAAGGAGGGCACCTCACTGGGCCAGTCCAGGGAGGGGAAGAGGGAACTGGAAGGCCAGTTCGAGTTGTGTGAGTCAGACGAGCTGGGAAAAGGGCAGCAGGAGAGAAGAGGGCAGGCACAATTTCTTGTTGGTCCCCAGGCTTCCTGTCTCCTGTTAGCACGGGCCCTGAGTGGCTCATTTCCTGCAATGGAGGCCTCAGCTGTGTTTTTTTTTTCCTGGCACATTTAATGAAGCTCTTTAGATTCTTCCTTCTAAAAAGCCTCTGAAAGAGGGAGAAAGAAAGGAAGGGACAAGACAAAAAGTGAAAATAGGAGGAAAAGAATAGAAACAAAGCTTCTGAACATAGGGAGGGAAGCAGGCTTGAGGGGGAAATGGAATAAAATAAAATAAAGTTTATTTTTTTTCAAAACCCTCTGAAAAGTGCATGTACCTGTAGTTATGAGGAATCTTAGTGAAATTAAAGATGTAGTCTAAATTGTTTTTCTTTGCTCTATTTCATGTTCTCTCATAAAATTCAAATGTGTCACCAGACTGCAAGACCCTGACCACAGGCAGTTGGCTGAAGTGTGGCAGGATGACCAGGGGCCAATGCCTGAGATCTTGGTCTGTGCTTCTCTGTGAAGGTCACCCTGGGGGACACATGGTGCTGGATCACAGGACATAAGTGGTGTGCACCAGCAGCTGCAGGCACACCCTAAGTTGTAAGTCTTGGAAGACATACAAAAGTTCTAAGTCATTTGAATTTGCAACAGTGTTTGGAAAAGGCAAGATGCTGGGTAGATCTATTCTAACATCTGAAGAGAGAAAGCCAGTTTGGGAAAAATATTTTAAAAATTGTCATTCCAGCTTTAATATTTGCCTTTTTAAGAAAATTCTCACTCTATCTGAGTTCAGAAACCTTGCTTAAAGCAGTTTGTGGCTAAGATGAACAATAGGGGCAGAGGAGGTGAGCCTCTCCCAGTGCCCAGGAGGAGGCTTCTGGGCCGCCATACCACCCCCTTCAGCACAGAGGAGGTGAGCCACACAGGCACCAGTAACATCCCCCCACCCCGCCCATCAAAATGAGAAGGCACGTAAACAAGTCTCATAACCAGACTTCCACATGACCTAAAGCAACCCCAAAGGGAAATGAGATGGAACACTCTGATACTCAACCACTTCGACTACCTGAATTGACAACAAAAGAGGATCTGGAAAAAGTAAAATCAGAAATAATTTCTCAGATAACAGCAGAGATTGTGCCCATATGAAAGACATGATTAATAAATCTAGAGAGGACACAGATAAAAAAATAGAGGAAATGAGAAACATGATGGAATCCCAACATAGGAAACAAATGGAATCTATAAAACAGATGCAAACAGATTTCCAGGAGATTAAAAACTCCAGTGAAAGCTAACGCAACAGAATGAACCAATGTGAGGACAGAATTTCAGATATAGAAAATAAGATTGCAATTAGTGGCCAGGAAAAGAAAAATTTCTTTAAAATTGTAAGGGA